AAGCATACACTAACTGAAATAAAGAATAATTTATAGGATTTCAACAGTAGAGTAGAGCATTCTGAGAATCAAATCAATGATTTGGAATATAAGAAAGCAAAAAACTCCCAATTAGAAGAGTGAAAAGCAAAACAAATCCAAAAATATGAAGATAGTGTAAGGAGTCTTGGGACATCCCAAGCACACCAACATTCAAAGTATGGGCTGCTGGAGGCTAATTCCAGCCGATCATAAATGCAAGAAGTTCATCAAATGGTTGATGGAACTTGAGGCTTCAGCAGGGCTGAATCATATTACCTGCTGCTGGAATACCTGAAAGCATTTCCCCAAACCTGAAAATCTGCATATATTATTGCCTGCTGCCAGACAGCTGAGGGCAGTTCCCCAACCTAACCAAACCTTACCTCTGATATGTATATATGCTTTGCTATAGGGCAAAAATGTGTTAATAAAAAGCTAGGGTCCAGAGATTCTGGGAACTTAGTTACTGAAGCTAAGCCTTCCCTGGCTCCCCCTAAAATGCCTTCCAAATTTGTATGTCATGTCTAGTTTATTTAATTTACTTGCAGACCCTTCTCCAGATTCCTGAACCCTAGTAGATGCTGAGAACGACCCCAGCAATGGGGGTGCCAGAAGGAGAAGAGAGAGAAAAACATTGAAAACCTATTTGAAGAAATAATGACAGAAAACTTCCCCTACCTGGTGAAAGAGATAGACATACCAGTCCAGGAAGCATAGAGAATCCCAAACAAGAGGAACTCAAAGAGGACCACACCAAGACACATCATAATTAAAATGACAAAGGTTAAAGACAAAGAGAGAATCTTAAAAGCAGCAAGAGAAAAGCAGTTAGTTACCTACAAGGGAGTGGCCATATCACTCTCATATGATTTCTCAAAAGAAACTTTGCAGACCAGAAGGGAGTGGCAAGAAATATTCAAAGTGATGAATAGCAAGGACCTACAACCAAGATTACTCTACCCAGCACAGCTATCTGAATTGAAGGTCAGATAAAGAGCTTCACAGACAGAAAAAGCTAAAGGAGTTCATCACCACAAAACCAGTATTGCATGAATGTTGAAGGGTATTTTTTAAGAAAAGGAAGAAGGAAAAGAAGGAGGAAGGAAGGAAGGAAGGAAGGAAGGAAGGAAGGAAGGAAGGAAGGAAGGAAGGAATAGAAATAGTAGTAGTAGTAGAGGAGGAGGAAGAAAAAGGAGGAGGAGGAGGAAGAGGAGGAGGAGGAGAAACTAAATACATATCAAGTATTGAATCTAAAAATCAAAATAAAAGAACCAGAAGGCTATTAAACAAAATAAACTGATGAATAAAATAGAATCAGAGGTATGGAAACATGGAACAGACTGATGATTCTCAGCAGGAAGAGGGTGGGGGCGGAAAGAGATTAACTAAAGAACTTATATACATATATGCATTACCTATGGACATAATAGGGTGGTGAAGGCCAGAGCAGGGTGGGAACTGAATGGAGGGGGGGAGTGGAGGGAAAATAGAAGGATATCTGTAATACTCTCAACAATAAACATTTTAAAAAATAAAATACAATGTTTCTTTTCTATGCTAAAAACACACACACACACAAATGGGCAAATGACCTAAATAGACACTTCTCCAAAGTGGATATACAGAAGGCCAATAGACATATGAAAAAATGCTCAATGTGATTAATTATCAAAGAAATTCAAATTAAAATGACAATAAGGTATCACCACACATCTGTTAGAATGGCTATCATCAACAAATCAACAAATGACAAGTCCTGGTGAGGATGTGGAGAAAGGGAACCCCAGTGCACTTTTGGTGGGAATGTAGACTGGTACAGCCACTGTGGAAAACAGTATGGAGTTTCCTCAAAGAATTAAAAATGGAACTGCCTTTTGTCCCAGCAATCCCACTTCAGGAAATATATCCTAAGAATCCCAAAACACCAATCAGAAAGAATATTAGCACTCCTATTTCACAGCAGCATTATCTACAACAGCAAAGATCTGGAAACAGCCCAAGTGTCCATCAGTAGATGAATGAATAAAAATGCTGTGGTACATTTACACTATTGAATACTATGTAGTTGTAAAAAAAAGAAGGATCTCTTACTCTTTGAGACAGCTTGGATAGATCTGGAGAATATTATGCTAAGTGAAATAAGCCAGTCAAAGAAAGATAAGTGTCACATGATCTCATATGTAGAATCTAATTAACAAAATAGAGCCAGAGACATAGAAGGATGGAACATACTGATGGATCTCAGAGGGAAGACAGGGGTGGGTGGATGGGTGGGGAGATATTAACTGGGGAACTTATATGCATACTAGAGGCCCGGTGCACAAAAATTTGTGCACTCGGGGGGGGGGGAGGTCCCCCAGCCCGGCCTGTGCCCTCTCGCAGTCTGGGACCCCTCGGGAGATAACGACCTGCTGGCTTAGGCCTGCTCCTGGGTGTCAGAGGGCAGGCCCAATCCCTAGGTGCAGCCCCTGGTCAGGCTCAGAGCAGGGCCAATTGGGGAATTGGGGCGCCGCCCCGTCATGCACAGAGCAGGGAGGATCGGGAGGGTGCGATGCCACCCTCAGTCATGCTCAGGGTAGGGCCGATTGGGTGGTTGGGGCACCGCCCCGTCACACTCAAGGCAGGGTCGATGGGGAGGTTCG